TGTAGTACTAGGAAGATGTTAATGTGGTGTCAGTATTCCAAGGTGAATGATCTAGACTGATTCAGGGTGAGAAAAAAAAATTATTTGGGAAATTCAGGGGACTTGAATACAGTCAATTACCAGCTGATACGTTTTTACTGAAAATAGATGTTATCAAACAAATCTGACTACAGCCTTTCAAACTACAAGTTTGGTAGATAAATACAATTACAAGGATGCAATAGCACCTATAAAATACCTATTTTTGAATGCCAATTAAATGGATTAAGAATTGATTGATATCTTCTAGTATGTCACAAACGATATTTGGAGTCTTCATAGTAAAATGGGCACATTTCCTTTAGTTATCTATGAGCAAAATCACAATTATTGACATTCATGAACAATGCAATGGCTGCCAAGACTGAAATGCCAGGATTACCATTAAGAGAAATCAAGCTACAGTTCCTTAAAATAAAACAGGAATTAACGATGCCAAGTTCATCCTGGGTACTAAACATCTGTGTAGATTACAGTTTCCCAGTTTAAACTGATCACCAGGAATGTAACTCGGAATCAGTCCCAGAATTCCCTCGTCTTGTGAATGGAAGTTAACTTTAAAAGAAGATTTAGACTGTGGTTTATTGCATAATTATTATTATAATAGCAAATGTTTATTGATGCTCTTAGTTATAGAGATAACTATTACACCTCTAATTTCACAGCTAAACCTTACTAAATGAGAAGCTATTACTATGATTTACTGTGGAATTAAAATTTTCTACACTTTACCACACCTTTCATTTAATTAAATACAGGCAGCAGAAAGGAGTGCAACTTCTCCTTTTTTCTTTCTTTTTTTGAATGACATCTGTCAATTACTGAAGGAAGCAAGACTTCATATGCATTTATCGAGAATACATTTATGCTGAACACAAACGGGCTGACTTCCCAGCTTTACTAAGCTGTTGATTACCCTAAAAGAATGAATGGCATCAACATTTACTTTAAAAAAAAAAAAATCCAAGAGCCGGAATTCACAAGAATCAATAATATATGAAGAAGTAGCTCATGTCACAAGCTCACACTATTCAAGGATTGTTAGTTTTCACATGAATGAATGCTATTTCATAACACACCAAATTTGTCATGGAAGGCAGTGGGGCAGACAGTGAAGCTGTACTGATGCACAGATTTACCATTCACATTTTCTGTGAGCCTGTCGAATTGCTTCATTTTCACAAAAAATGGATATTATTTTCCCTTTCCAAACAGTTTGTGCACAATTATCTTCCATTTCCAAAGTACAGAGACTCTCAGAAGGTACTGAAAAGCTAGGGTTTCTTTCCTTAAATAAGGAACAGTCATTCTAAATGTTATAATGCGAGTGAGGATAATTATACCTTACATTTCACACCACTCCTCTGAAGACTGCGACATAGATTCCTCTGTTGGTATTTACTCAGCCCTTTTTTATTCTTTCTAGCCTGAGTAAGACTTTCCTACAGACCCAAGTCCTACGATTACGATTATCTTCTGTGATCGTGGTCCTGATTTCTGGATGACAATAGTAATCTCAGATGGTCATCTAGAAGCACAAGATGACCAACATGTTGCAGAAAATATACCTATTCTTGCAGAGATTAAAACTTGAAATTAAGAATACCTTCCAATGTAATTATAGGAATGCCTCTAGTCTTCAACTCAAGGGAACTGAATGAAACTAATGAAAGTGAATTAAAAAATAATTTCATTAAATCACCTGACAATATATGACCAAATTTTGGGGGTTTTCTACCTGCATTTTCATTGTTTAAAATGTTTGACTTTATTTTGTTTACCTCCATACTGATACACATCCATACTGATCTTTACATTTTATTAATGGCAAGGAACCGGCTAAAATTTCAAGTTTTATGAAAAATTTGTATTATGGAGCACATACAAATTTGAGGATTGATGCAATAATTGTACTCTTTTCCATCTACGTCTGATTATGGATGCCTATGCTATAAAACAAAGAAAGAACCAAAATGCTTTTCTAGGCCAGTTATTGTAGGATTCACTAATATATCAGAAAGTACCTTCTGTCCATTTTAAAACAACGGGTAGCATTTTAGAGTTCTGTCTTTAAAACTTTATAATTTTGTATATTTAGTGGTAATAAGACAAAATGCGTTCCCTTAGTAACTTTAAGAAACTGAAAAGCATTGAGTGCCAAACGTATGTTGAAATTCTTGAATTCAGCCACTCAAAACCCTCTCTTCCTTAAGGCTGCTCTAAAAGCTTCCATTTATTACCTAGCTCAGATTACACCAAAGCATAGTGCAAAGGCCAGGGGAACATCACAATTTCACCCATATTTTCCAGCATCTGTACTTTTTTCACAGGTGTTGCTATACAGGCAAAAAGGCTCTGACCTTAAGGTCAAATTACAGGGCACTTAGGTGTTGGTGGAACAGAAGGACCTTAAATAACCATGATTTGCACATATGGACCAAACAGGACTATAGCACAAGCATTTCAGTTTTCAAACCCAATTTGGAAGAGAGGCAAATATGTGCTAAATACATCTCTACTACTCTTTGTTGCTCATTTAAAACAACATTTTTTTCCCCTGTATTGTTTTCCATTAATCACTAGAACTATTTTAATCGGTTACAGAAGGAATAAAAAAATTGGCCTAGAACCCTACCTTTACACTGTGATGCTTACTAGTCTCCAGTTTTGCTTAAGATCACATACAGGAGTAGTATCTGGGATCTTTCTAAATCCGTCATAAGATAAATCCATTTCTCACTGTGCAAATTTTAATTTGGCACAGGCAATAAAAAAAGTGTGCCATGAAGATGCATCTAAAAATCCATGCCATGTGTAATGTCCTGATTTAAAACTTCTGAAGTAACTTGCACTGTTCTTCTGAATTATTTCAGTGTGCTGCAGTCTCTTCAGACATTACAGGGTATCTTTTTTTTTTACTCAGCAATTGACCTTACTCCATCATCTGCTGACATTTTCTGTCTCACATGCTTAATTGACAGGCTATGAAGCAAGTTAAAAAACCCTCAGAACAACAAAAAACAAACAAAATCCCCCAAACTACTTCAACTTCCAACCATCTCTGCAGTCAACGTCTGTTAAGTAAGCTGGTGCAGTGCCACCGCCTTCCCTATGGCACTAGAGTATCGGCCATCTGTGGTGTTACCAAGGTTAAATTCCAATGCCAGGAGAACTGCAAGGAACCTACATGCCATTCCAGGAGAGCTTCTGAATCACTGGTGAAACAAAGTAGTAGGCACTTTGGGTTTTCTTGTCTATAGCCAAAAGCCACCAACAGCTTGTAATACATTGCATATGACGAGGCATAATCCATCCCTTACACTAAACGCATTGTGGAGTAATGTCATGGGAATGCAGGGATTTTGAATGGGCATTACAAATCCCACAGCATCAGGAACACTAAACAGCACTAATATCTAGAAATCACTTCTTCACTGTGTTAGGGTTATTTTTTGAGATTTTTTTTCAAGTTTCTTGGAGCCAGCCATACATCATTGAAATGTTATAGTACAGAATATAAACCACTTGCAAATATTTTCAGTACTAAAGCAAACTCTTGATATATCTATTCAAAGCAAGCAACAGAGGAGTTTTGAAAAGGAATCTAACAGCTTGGTTTAACTTCACTGACAGCTGAGTACCCAACTCCCAGAGGCTCTTCTAACTCTCCCATCTCCCTCCCCCTTCCAAATAAGAAGCTTTGCTATTACCTGTTCTGTGCTTGGTACAATTAGAACAAGAAGTACAATTATTTAAACATTCCTCTGGTCAATCTGGGAATCCTATTAACAATATTCTAATAAACCCTTTGGAAGTCTCCCTAAATACTATTGAGCAAAATATACTTTGTCAAAACAACAGGAGAAAAAAGAGTCAATACGACACAAATGTGCATTAAAGTGCTAAGAGACCACTTAGTTGAAGTGTTATGTTTGGCATCTTGGCAGTGCACTGCAAAACAGGGAGACATCTAACAATTTTTCATTAAAGTTCTATGAATAAGCAAGCTTGGTCAGGCTGTCGGGGACTTTCTGTCAGTGTCACTTGTTCCAGTACATGCAGAATGGAGGCACTTCTTCAAGCTGAGGCAATGTGAGTCAGTGTCTTATCTCTGAACACCAATGCGTGACATATAAGTATGATGATAGCCGCTATCTCTGCAGTCTTGCTTTTCTGTACTGTATTTCTTTACTACACTTTTTTTCAGGTAGCAGAATAGATTAGTTGCTGATGCTTGCTCTCTTGCATCAACCTACGTTCTCTCAATGAAGTAATGGGATCAACCTGCCTGCTTTCTCTCTTACATGCATATGCACACACACACAGAGGAGATTTTGCACTTAAGAATGTTATTTTTAATTAATGTGCAGCTCACCCTGTATGGAGAAGGAAGGGGGCTGTTATACAACTACTTGTCTAAGCAGGTGGCTCAGCCTCAAAGACAGCAAGTCTTTGAATAAAAGATATATAAGATATATATCTTCATAAGAATATACAAATAAAAGGTGCATATGAATAAAAGCTATAGATAAAACTATAAACTAAAAGATCAGGTGTAATAAGTTGTCTTTTCCAGGCACTGTATGTAAAGAGAATGCAGTGGGTACCTGGCATATTCATAAATTCAGTGAATTCCTACCTATCCCTGTAATCAGTGGATTCATTCTTTATAAACAGTCCACGAAGTTCATGGCATGTGCTTTACTGTAAGTCTCCTTAAAAAGCTGTCAACTTGCAATTTATATAAAACTACTCAGAAAAGCAAGCACACAGAAAGACAGCAATCCCATTTTGCAATCAGTGAATGCAGTTAATGCTTTTCCACTTACACCACAGTATGATAGTAAATATAATAATAGTATTAATTCTTAGTGCCTACCACTAAGAACCAAAAATTCACCTCAGAACACCTGAGCTCCAGAACAACCTCTGCTGTACGCTACAGCTCTTGTCTTCCTTACCTTCAGTTGCCTTGATGGTGTATCCTTTCTCTTCGTTTGGTGGTACCTCCAGAAGCTGCATGACCCTGTCCAGCAAACCATGGATAATCTCAAACCCTGGGCTCTTGTTGTAATAAACCGCACAGAAATGCCTGTAGTTTCTTGCACCTACATCTGAAGAAGGAGGAAACAATCATGTTATCTGGGAAATTTTATTGCACTTTCAACTTTGCCTTTCACCTCAGTTCTTCTCTGCTGTACTGAGAGGCACTTGTGGCTGAAAGGAGATGAGCATGTAAACTGGCTTCTCTGACACACCTGTCATACAATCTGAGGAAATAATGGGATTTCTTTAACCCACTGGACTCTCGCAGTCAGAACTGTAAACAAAGATTCAAAGTATCCTATGTCTTGAGCAGGAAATAGGTTTGTTAAATACAAGTATCTTCTATGCAGTGACAGGTACCTAGCATATAGCTCTGTGTTAAAGAAATGGAAAACAAACTAGCCAAAATGCAGATACTCAGTAAGCATCAGGAAACCTGTGATGCTGGTGGGAAAGTTAAATATTTATAGCATTCAGCTGCAGAATAACTACCAGAATAAAACAAATAGCCCACAACTTGAAATAACATTAGCATGGTGGTCTACGAAAAGATCTAAATTCATACAGGTGAATCAAAATCACAAACCAAATCACAACTGATGCTCTTCATGCTCAACTTGAACATCCCCAAAACTACGTGATGATGAAAAACGTGCTGTTTCACTAACTCCAGGCTGTGACACGAGTTTCTCCCACTTTGGACAGTGCCCTAAGTCAAAACCCTGCCTTCTCCCTGCTGTAAGTTTTATTAACTTATTAGTTTAATCAAAATACTTTTTTTTTCTTTTCTTAAACTTCCAAAACGAGTGTGTAGTAGTATGTTGTTACACTTGTTGCTACATCATTGCACTATACGCTCTCTAGGGCTACTGTGGCCTACTTCGAAGCTTTACTCATTGCAGTTTCAACATTTTCTCTTTTTGGAGAGAACAACCTAGGAACAGAGCAACAAGTCTATTGTCACAGCTGCCAGTTAGTAGCGGTGAAGTTCAAAATACTGATTAATGTAGTGAACTCATTTATTGCATTCAGCTCTTTACCTTCTCAAGGTTAAAGTGCAAGTGCGTGTTCAGCAAGGTTGTTGGCTTCAACCACTCAAGGGCATTCAGCATGTGTGATCAGACTAGAGCTAGCCAAAAGGACAGCTTACAAGCATATAGCACGGACTGCAAGTCATCAGTCGATCGCCTGCTGTACCGCACTGCTTTGTAATGTTGACATGTAGCGCAACAAGTTACAGTTGGGTTTTCAGGCGTAGATGCACCCTTTCTAGAGTCCTCTGGCTTCTGTAGTCTCCTACTTGCTCATGTCTAGTCAGACGTTCTCATCCTTCTCTTCCACTTAACGGTGATTAGATATAAAGAGGAAATGTATTTACTGTCAACAATTGCACTTCTTTGAAAAAAGATCTATAAATGCTTGCAATGTTTGAGGGGAAAGAGGGAATAAGAACTTCTTCAGTAGTGAAGGAATGAAGAGTGGATGAGTAAAAAGAGTAAGTCTGACTGGTCTGCAAGTTAAGGTAGGGCAGCACCACGTGACAGTTGCATGCGTAGGGCTTTCATATTTATTTCCAGAAATTACCCAACAGAAAGGCACATGAAATCCAGTATATGCCAGGGTGAATTATGTTCTTTACGCAGCCAACCTGTGTTCACACTGAGCATGTCAGGACCTCTGGTCATGTAACATCTCGGCTGGACTTCAGTGTTCCCCGGAAAAAAGGCACTGCACTGTACACTGCTCATAGAAAGAGTGTGGTTAAAGATCCCTATATGGTTAACGACTTCACAGGAGTTAGAGCTGCACCTGTGGTCTGAATTGTACTTTCACATAGTTCTGGATGTAAGCGTCAGAACTGAGCACCTCAGATGGTTCTTTTCTACAGGAATCTGCTGCTGCATTCAATACAAGAAATCGGAGACATCAAAACCAGCAGGAGCCAAGCTCAAAACAAAAAAAGGAGGGGGTTCTTTAGGCAGCACAGAGTTAAGTAGTGAAACTTCTTCCCCACAGGATTCTGTGGATGCTAGAAGTTTACATGGCTCTGAGGCGGCAGAGGAAGTTCATAGGAGATAAGTCTATTACTTCTCACTGCAAAGAACCATGTTTGAGTCAGGAAGTCCCTGAGCTACTCAGGGCCAGAGATCAGGGGAGCACTCTGGAAGCATTACATATGTACACCTGCTGTCGTGCTTTTCCCTTGAGGACCACTTTTAGCTAGTGTTACAGAGTTAATTGGGCTAAAGGCGCCTTTGGTCTGACCCACCAGAGCCGATGTTTGTGCTTGATGTACACTGAACTTAAATCAAGCAGAAACTCTAGCACTCATTGAGTGCTCCCTAAACTGTTAATATCTACCACAAAAGAAATTAGAAATTTACATCTTATTTATTTGCTCCACCTAACCAGTTAGTAACAAAAAATCTGTTAAAAACTAAACTGGAAAACATTTACCAAGTGGCTAGAAATACACAGATTAAAAAAGATGGCAAAAGACAGGAGTAAGAGCCTACACAAAAGATGAAAGCACAGCCTTTTTGAGCCAAAAGTCATTCAAAACTTCTAGGGCAGCAACTTGGCAATACAGCTGCAAGTTCTCTCGACAGTCACTGAGAGCTGAACTTACTGTGGCACTAAGTCTGAATTTTGTCACTCGGGATCTTTTTCTGGATGCTATAATAATTTGCAATGTTAAATAATGCTAGAGAATCCAATTTTGAATTTAAAATGGCAACACAGAAAAGTAAAGGCTACAGAGAAAATATCAGTAAATGCAACATCTGATTTCTGGTCAGAGCATGCTGGCTTTTCAGTCCCACAATGTATCTCTGTTTCCCAGCTCTGCTAAGAAACCCATCAGTAATACAGTCAAGAATGCTGGATAATTTATTTTCACGTTGTATGGAGCAATAGAAAAGAAGAAAATGTTTTTCCCTTCCTTAAGACAGCACTTTCTTTGGGCTAGACATTCAGTAGAATGACTTCCTTTTTTTTTTCTGTGAGTCATTATGCTAGCAGAATTTGTGACAACTATCTGAATTTTAATTTCATTATCATTCAGATAGTCAATGGTGTCTTCAGATCCCTATTCCTAACTAAAGCATCAGAAATAAATATACAGAACAATTTTTATACCTCATGTTTTCAACTGTAGAAATCCTTGGTGAAGGAAAGGATGCATTTTCAAGCATTCAAAAAACTGTGTTATAAAACTTACTCCTTTAGAGAGTTATATTACAAGACAAGAAGTTCATTCACTGCAGGCAACAGGAAGAAAAAAAGAAAGTATTAGGAACTGTAGGCAAAAGCTGGTGGATGTTAGAAATGCTTCAGTTCTTTGTAACTCAGATCTTTTGTGTCATGCCATGAAATTTTTCAATTTTTTAAATGAGCCTGCCAACTATGTCAACATAAATTATATATATATATATATTTCCAAGACTTCAAAGCACTTCCTGGGGATGCTGCTGAAAAACAGTCCAAAGGATGGGCAGCTGGTTAGGAATATGAGCCAAGAGCGCAGAAAAGATAAAGCAGTGCTGTACGCTGCCCCCTTCCAAATTAGAGATGCTTCAGAAAAATGATTTGGTGATCTCAAAGGGGGCACCTGTTCATTTACACTTGTCTCTTGGCCTCACAAAAATCCTGAACTATTTTCTGCATATAACTAACACTTCCAGACAGTTTGGAAAAATGCTTCGAAATAAGGCAGCAGCTGTACTCACAAATGATGTAAATTGTGCTAAACGTGCGCTACCATAAGCTTGGCAGGTTCTCCAAGATCACTGGTCAGAGGTGATTTTCTGATGGATTAATTTCTTTGGCTGTGGTAATAAAGAGAAAACAGTATTCTGATGGGTCTGGTGGTGTAAAGTGATGATTTATATGCTGAACTAGTGTAACTGTCCTACCAGAAGTGACCATCTAGTGTTACAAGCTAACCACACACGTGCTGTGTAATGTATTCAAAATCAGCACATTTTCTCCTGCCTTGAGAAGAAATATTTCTGCTCAGATTTGGTTCCATTTAGTTATATTAAATCTGTCACACATTTTGCTAATTTAGTACTTCAAACTCTTCTGCCAGATATGTCTGAATAGAAATACGTTCGGTTCACATTGGTAAGCAAGAGTTCTGTGTAAGAAGGTATTTTATTAAAAAACACTGTGTTTAAAAGAACTAGGTTCATTCACACACGAATGACTACAAGATGCCATTTCAAATACAGCTGAATGTCAGTAGTTTTTTGACCCATACTTTTTAAATTATTAATTGAAAATTCTGCATGCCAAAATCATGAAATAATAAAATTAAATTAGTCAGTCTGATGACATAAGCCTTCTGCAGCAAATCTCATTCCATATGTGAGAGGGCAACCCCAAGTTTTCAGTGTTTGCAGAGTTACCAGTTATTTCTTTCTTCCCTCCCCTTCCAAACTGTTTATTGGGCAAGTTTGATTTTGGAAGTAAATTCAGGAAAGATAGTATTTATTCTAAAGAAAACATTAAAAACCATTTTGGGTACTGCTCACAGTCTGCAAATGCTCTACCCGTGAGAGGGCTGCCCAAGAGCACAGGGTACAAAGCTGCCTCCGAAGTCTTTATCTTCCATCTGTTGCAATGATTCCCATCAAAATGAAGTACGTGCAAAATCAGTCTTTATAAAACTGTTAAGCAGCCATCCATATAAACGAAAGCTTTCAAGAGCTACAATTAGCACACATGAAATAAAAGGAACAACTTAACTTGCATATTTTATAAAGCCAGAATAAACACGCTCCTTTGTCCAAGAGAAATAGCCCCCACTCTTAGTTCTGAAGAATGCTGATGCTATTCTGCCATCTGTACCAAGTTTTTTGCACTCTAGCTAACTGCGTACCCAACCAGGAATGAGCTGCACCACCAAACTGTCTGTATTTAATAAAAAGTCTACACGGTTTGCTGAAATTGCTTATTTTGCTTAGCAAGGCTTTTTTTCCTTAAAAAAAAAGAAAGTAATCTACAAATTAAGTTCATCAAAGCAATTTACTGGCCATTTTGTTTATGCCTTATATAAATCTTTGTTTGGCAGATTCCAGATGCCTTGAACACAACCACTAAAATCTGAAACCAGATAATGAAACAACAGAACCATTTCTGCTGCTGAATTTGAAGTAATGTCAGCCTTTTTCACCGCGAGGCAAAACTTCTTTCAGAGTTGTACCTCAGCGTACGTGCACTTCCTCTGAAAAGCTGTAGCTTGTGCACTCCTTTTCCCCTACTGTACCATATAGAGAGAAACGAATCAGTAAACTTCAGACAATTTTTTTAACATCTAAAAATCCATTTTTAAAGTTCATTTTACTTTGATACATTTTTTCCAGACAAAAAAGGTAATTTGAAATTTTGATCCTGTACAGTGAAATCAGTGCAAAGAGGCCCCATAACACAGGAAGGATTTCACTGAAGCTTTTGAGAAGTGAAGTAGCTGCTCTGGCTGTTTCACGTAAAACAATTAAGGCTGCAGAACAATTCAAAGGCAGTCACGCTTTCTTAACGTAGTTGGATGAAGCGGAAAGATAAGGAATATCTTTTTACAGATGAGAGGGGAAATTTTATACTGTCGAGTTCTTTATTAATTTATATATTTTTACACACAGTCTTGCTCCATTCTTTACCGTGTATTTGTGCTACAAATCTAATTTTTCATCTTGGTTGTCAGTTTTCTAGAAGATAATTTTGGAGCAAAAATACAAGCAATTATGTTTAAAGATGAACGAAAGATGGAAAAGGGATTGACACTGAGACATGCTGACCCCAGAATTTTCCTCTGAATTACAGCTCTCCAGAATAGAATCAGTCTGCAAGTACAACCTGCTTTCTTAGGCTTGAGACATACTGCTTTTCAGTTGGCACAGCACTGCACATCTTTGAGACTGCAGCAGTTTAAACAGGTTCTAGTACTGTAATAGCAGCATGCCTTTGATATTTACTACTTTCCAAGGTTTCTGCCACTTGAAAACATTACCAGCAGGGAGTTTCTCTTTTGAGGTACAGCCCTGATAAGAACACAAAGGAGCACTGGATTAAGAGCAAGTAAAAATGGGCGCATCGACATAAGCAATTTAGAGCAGATTCTTTTTGAGTGCAAAATTGTCTTGTACTTATCCTTGCAGTCTTGCAGTATTCTTCACAGATTTCAAGGGATATTTAAATGCCTAAAAATATTTACAAGGTACCCACTTGCACTTCTGAAAATTGTATCTCTAGCCACTCTAAAATCTACTCTGTTATGCTAACCTCTTAACTCTTGCACATAAATGAAAAAACAGAAGGTAGTATGCAGTGGTTATTGTATTTTAGAAGAAATACAGATTTATTTACTCTTCCCATTAAGTATGTAAACATATATTTCCACTAGCAAAGATTTTGAGGAACCTCCACTTACCTGTATTAGGATCTTTTACTACAATGTCAGAAATCTCAAAGAGTTTGAGAGGCAAGGGCATCTTTCGGTTAGCAGCAATAGTTTTCAGTAGCCCAGGAAGGAGGATTGTACGTGCCACCTGCAGGACAAACATGATTGCTGCAAGTGAAATACCTTCCAAACCAGCTGATGTTAGGTTTCTTAATTTTTTGTTTTGCTCACTTGTAACAAGAGTTTAAAAGTAGTCAGGTGCAAATACCATTTAAATATTTTTAAGCCTCTTTGTTTTATAATTATTAAACTGGAAAATGTACATTCTTTGTATGTTCTTTACACTGCATTTTCTGAAAGAGCATGTATGTGATCTTTAAGAACAGGTATCATTTCACAGATGATTGAACTGCAGTGCAGAACAGAAAAACAAGTAATACAGAAAGAACTGCAAAAAAAGTCCCATAAATTTAATCTCATTTATGCGAAAGGTAAATAGAAAGTGTTACATTTGAAATATTAAATGCTATTTGAAATATTATCTTGATCCCTCCTAATATCAATCAATGATACAGACAGAACCTAACTAACAGAAACGGATATCTTCAGATTGCACTTGTGGACAACCTGATATATAGAGAAAATGTATGCAATGAACCAAGGCAAGAGGCAATCATATGACTGTTCTTACAGTTATAGTCACATATATTTCCTGTGTTCTCCATTCAAATACTTCCTTAGAAGTGCACCATTTTTTTTTTTTTTTTACAAAACTGGAAGAGTCTGATTCAGTAAATCTAATGGAAAAAGGATAAGAGTGACCGTAGGCTGCTTGACTGCAGGTTAAAAGTTACCATGTGCTCAGCCACAGTTACTTCTTATAATTGGTCATGCAGCATTTCTGTCTATTTATCCCACTTTTAATAACCAATGAGGATATCCAGCTGGTCACTCAGCTGGAAGAGGGTCCCTGGCATCATCCTGCCCTTGTCTTGCTGGGAGAGGACAGAGGATGGGGGAAAACCCATCCTGAGAATCCCATCACAGCTAACATCTGAAGTAGAAGGTTTATAATGCATCACAAAGAGCAACCCTTCCCAGTTTTCAGGGAGGCCTACAGATTTTAAAAGATTGATGCTACTTTTGCCACAAGAAATATTCAGCCAATAATATAACTGCTTAGCAGCATTGCTACTGCAAAGGCCTGCAGTCTTTGAAGAACACGAATCTGAAATTGTACCTGGCTGGAAGGGCTGCCACTGTTTCTCTTCTTGTTCACACTCAGTATTGTTTGTGGTACGTTCTATACTGCTCAGCTGTAATGACCAGGCCAAATGATATATATTAACAGGTGATAATAGTCTAAAAGACACTATAACAGTGTCTTCTGTGACTGCTTATTTGTGGTGCCAAATAGAATAGAAAATGAATGAAGACACCCCAAAAAATCTGTTCCCGAATCTCAGAGCAGCAGAAGACTGCTTTTAGTATTAGAGATAAGACCTAGTGGCCAGCAGGTCGAGGGAGGGGTTCCTGCCCCTCTGCTCCACTCTGGTGAGACCCCATCTGGAGTCCTGCATCCAGCTCTGGAGCCACCAGCACAAGAGAGACATGGACCTGTTGGAGTCGGTGCAGAGGAGGGCCACAACCATGATCTGAGGGCTGAACACCTCTGTTGTGAGGAAAGGCTGAGAGTTGCGGTTGCTCAGCCTGGAGAAGAGAAGGCTGCGGGGAGATCTTAGAGCAGCCTTCCAGTACCTGAAGGGGCCTACAAAAAGGCTGGAGAGGGAATTTTACAAGGGCGTGTAGTGATAGAACAAGGGGCAATGGCTACAAACTGAAAGAGGTAGATGTAGACTAGATATAAGGAAGAAATTTTTCACAACGAAGCTGGTAACGCACTGGCACAGGTTGCCCAGAGAGGTGGTAGATGCCCCATCCCTGGAAACATTCAAGGCCAGGTTGGACGGGGCTCTGAGCAACTTGGTCTAGTTGAAGATGTCCCTGCTCACTGCAGGGGGGCTGGACTAGATGGCCTTTAAAGGTCCCTTCCAACCCAAAGCATTCTGTGATTCTATGATTTTAGACACTTGGAGAAATCATACTTACTAAAGAAGATCTTGAGGGGAAAATACCACAAATCACGAAACATTAATACCCACAGACTGCTGAGACTTTTCTAAACCTTTCCAAAGAGTGTTCACCTCTGTATTTATTAGGTTAGAAACATAAAAAGCCTCTAAATTTATCTTTCCTGTAAACTACAGAGAGCATCTCTCTTAAAAAGCACTCTCTGAAAGAAATATAAAAACTATGGGTACACTTTTAGGTATTTTCAGTATTGTTGACCATACTCTCTGAGTGAGAACACTCTCTGCTCTAGCAAAGATCAAATGATCTAGAAATGAGTAGCAAAATACTTAAAGAGAAATACAGTTGTTTGTTTTTTTTTTTAAAGAAAGTAATAATAGTTAATAATTTAAAAAAAATATTTTCTATCCAGACCTCAGGAAGTTTAGAGATTGTCAGGTCTAGTAGTTCCATTTGTATTGAGGGGCTTTTCTAAATGTGGGAGTTGATCAATCATGTGGGATTTTCATAATAAGACAACTCAATTTTGCCACATGCTGTCATACAGAGCATCTTATTTTACTTTATTGAAAAGCTAATAGTATTTCACACCGAATAAGGTATTTCCAGTGAAGAAGTAACAGAAAATGATTGCTAGCAAGTTTAGCACATAAATATGCACATCCTCTTTAACGCAGGAAAAAATAGCTCTATGGTTTATATATTTAATTTCCTGTTGGTTCCTTTCTTTCCTCTTTAAATATAGAACCTGTTACAATGTTGCTCTCAAAATTTGACCTGAATTACCTCACCTGAAATTCTGCAGTTTTGGGGTTTGCTATGCGCACTGCTTTTGTTGCAGAGAGATCCATGCCAAGTTTATCTGCGATGTCTTCTTGAGAACACTGAGAGGAAGAGACAAAAAAACACCAAGGTCAAGTAGTTAAAACAGACAGTAAACCAATGATGAAATTTGGTATCAAGAATGAACAATGCAATTGTAACACTTGCTGAGGCCCCGTAATATATGCTGTCATGCGTAACACCCACTCATAATAAAAATTACGCCCCAGTATTAAGACTAAATAGGCAAACTGGTTTATCTACAAATGTTAATTACTAACCAAAATAAAGCTAGTTCAAAAAAAAAAAAAAAAAGGAGGCAAGTGTTTAGGCTTCTGTCAAGGATTGCTGTCATCTGTTTTAAAAAGAGTCTCAGATTCTGCCCCCGACTTGCAGTGGGTAAAGTATTATATCCTGAAAACAGCACTTGTAGAGGGAATGGTATGCGAGCTTTCTTACAAAGAAAACAAAGGGGGACTACTTACAGAAAGTAAAGTACTGAAAAACAGGTCATATGGCCAAGCCTTCAATTTTCATAGCTGCACAAGATTCTCACAGTTCATTGTTGTTTTCATTTTTTTCAGCTGGAGTATTTTTAAAGCCCTTATTCTGAAGGTGTGTTTTTAAGCTGGTCAGTAAAGCAATACACATGCACTTTATCAGGCTCAGATGATGTCTGTGCACATACAGCAACAGATGCTACTGATAAGATCCACACTACAGATTTCCAGAATTTATAGCTTTATTAATGTATCAAAGAAACCAACAGCAGGTTAGGCATGTAATTCAGGATTTGCTAGTATGCTGTAGTCTCTGAGAAGTGTTCTGTTTGCCCTGGCAGCACTCTGAAAAGTGTGTTGATAGACCAAATGTGAGGAAAATGAGCAGATGATACCATCTGAAAAAGTGGATTACTGAACTAAAACAAAACAAAAAAAAGTCTTTTAAATGAATGCTGACCTTAGGAGGAGAAAACTGTGTTAAATATTTTTCAGATGTGTATCTAAACTACAGCATGTTACTGTGATTTAAGTAAATGCATTTTGGCTAAATTGGAACTCCTCACAGTAAGCAATGTTATTGTGTACAAGTACAATTTGGGGCTCAAACCAAGAAACAGATTGTATGCACAAATACATAAGAAATGTTTGTCATATAATGCTGGGCTACAGAATGCTGTAGAATAAATGGTATTTGTCATAGTCATAGGCCTCACACTGGTGTTTTAATAAAGTGTTGGTGACACAGCAGACTGTGGGTTTCATCATGCCACAGCAGAAATACAAATATGTAATGTGATAACATGATACGCTGCATGATCTTACAAAATTCTGCTTTTGCAGTTCATAAAGGTCCTCAGTTGTACTAATGCAATATAGTCAATGTTTGCAAGCATATTACTTATTCAGTGCTGAAAAAAACTGAATTATATTAATTAATGGATAAGGGAAATCTATAAAACCTTGACCATATTACACACATTATTTCCCCAAGATGGTACTACCACAGGTAGTCTGAATATCTTTATCAAATACCAGCACTGCAGGAAGTAATACTAATTATTGTCCTGGTTACTTAAATGAATTAATAACAAAATATTAAAACTGGAATATATTTTTCAGACTTCAGAATTAGTCCAAATTTTGCTTTTGAACCTCTACGAAATCTGAAGGTGTTAAAATTTTATTCAATCCATTTGGATTACCAACTTTGGTTGTAAGACCTGAACTTTTCAAATGCGTAGAAGTGTTTTGGGAGTCTGCATCATTGTATCTTGAAATCTTTGAGTAAGTTATCAAAAAATTATCTGCAATCAGATAACTATCTCTTAAAAGGTAGTGTACTTTCAGGGAGGTATACTTCTGGCCATCTAGTAAGATTTAAGTTCAGGAAAAAAGTTGAGAAATTCCACAGAGGTTTTAACAGAATATGTGACGGTGGTGCCCCATATGCTAAAATGTCCACAAATTGCACTTTAAGGCAAAGGCTTTGAGTAGATCTTGCAACAGAAAGGATTTTCTAAAATTTATAGCGTATTTTCAATAGCTGACTATGCCAACATCCACATATGCATAGTTACCATATACACGTGGAGGGCATGGGGGTGCACTTCACTTTTTTTTTTTTAAATAGTAGATCAGGTTATCTGATCCAGTTCACAAACAGGGCAAAGGGGTATGAACACGTGGCCATGACAAAGACTGTGTTTCCTACTGAATATTTTATTTGAACAAAACAACCCTGCTGCAAAATTTCAGTATTAAAATTATGCCAGCTGTAAGTAGTGGAGTGGCACATGCTGCTGCACAGTCCCAATTCTTTGTAAAAGACTACTGGCACGGCTGTAACAAATAATATGGGTAATATCTCCAACTACTGGTAACAAGAATTACTGTATTTTTATTTGTTCTTCCATGCAAAAAACCACAACAACTGTGGTGAAATTTACAGAGGAATTTGTTTCTCCTTACTGTCCATTATAACATTTTTACAGATATTCTTAAAATAAATTCTTTGCTGACTGAATAACTACGTATCACCTTGGTATCTAAGGTAAGTAATCATGGGCACGTGACAATACTAAAACGAGACAAATAGAAACAGTGTCATCTCTAAACCGTAGTAATATCCACCAGAAAGTACTAAATTTTTATGTTTATTTTTCAGATTATCAAACTGTGATGAATTTCACATTTGGTGATCAAAGTCTCGAGAGACACTTGCTGTCTTACAATGTCATCCTATGAAGTTAAACTAAAATCAGTATTTCAGCAGCTATGTTTGTCTCTATCCTCAGAACTACAAGCCACATTAACAGTGACTCATTCAATTTCTCTGACCTACAAACTCACAAAATACTGTAATATAATTCTAAAGCACTACCAAACAATCACCTGTCAAAACAGTAACGGATAATACTGTTACATTTATACAAGAACATATCCCCAGACTATTCACTGCAGTTCTGGCTGCATCACTGTTCTACTGTGCTACTAAGAAAAACATGAAATCAATATAATATACCAGAGCAAAAGTGAGTGCTTCAGTGAATCCAGCAGCTGCCAAGTCCAGTCTCAGAAGTTCTGTGAGCTTATTGAGGGGGAGCTAAAATGAAGCAAAAAACAGTTTTCAACTTCCATCTAAAAGCATTTTTCTATTCTTTCCCGAGGTGATTCTGCCTGTTATGTTATGGTGAATTCATTAGGGAGGTACTATGCTTGTGTGCTTAAAATTTTTGAAAGCATCAGCCAGCTGCCTTTAGGCTTGCCTGAGGAAATGAATCTCCCAATTAGAGATTTAATATGGGCTCCCTACTTAAACCCTGTCTTTTTTCAAGTACCAGCAACCACTGGTCTTGGATGTATTCAAATCAGTGGGGCATCTGTTTTGTATCCTACCCATGGTAAATACTTCTCAAGGCAAAGCATGTCAAAATACTTAATTCCTAGGTTCTGTTTTCCCCAAAGCCCTTCTGGCATGCACTAGTCATTTACTGACAAGAGAGCGTTTATTTGAAGGGGCAATCTTACTTGATTAGCTATGGTGTACGTTTTCGGAATAGTCATCTGAATGTTGTTATAACCATAAGCTATTGCTGCATCTTCTACGATATCACATGCATGGATAATGTCTGCTCTGGTAGGAGGGATTTCAATCTCTATATTGTTCCCATTCCCTATGACGTGTGACTTCAAACACATCCTAGTCAGCAGCTTTGCAAGGCTTGATGGAGTTTCACTGAAACAGAAAAAGAGAGTAGTAATTTGTGGATCTTGCACTCTGTATCAACTGACTTTTTAAAGTAATCAATGTTTCTGCTGCATTGCCTTATATTGTGAAGAATCTCCAAGTGCTTTATGGACTGTACATAGACTTAGCATTCCATCAGAACCAGCTCAGATTCTGATTCTTGAGACAGTCATTTCTCTTTACTTTGTAACAGTTGTGTGAGGCCATACAGAATCATTCACATTCCTTGAAAACGGGGGAAGACGTCTTACAGAGTTGATCTAATTACCCAAGATAACCCCTGAATTTTTGCTGAAGTAAAAAAAACAACAACCACACAGTGTAAACACTTTTAAAACAATGCAATAATCAATGTTTTCTAGTATATTTTTCATGATTAAAGAAAACTATGTTTTCATTCGCAATAACACACCTGATTCCTATTTTCTTGTTAATGAGTTCAGGTTTCACCTTCTCTTTTCGGTAAGCCAGTTCCTAAAATGAAAGACAAAGCTTTTCAGCATGAACAATGCCTGCCGTTTCTACAAAAGAGGATTCAATTCCCACATGTTAGTAATCTAGCTTCTTCTAATTACGATACTAAAATGACATCCTCAGAAGACAAGTGCGGAAAATTAGGCTAAGCTTAATATTTTAAGGTAACAGGATTCTTGAAAACATATTATATAATACGTGATGCAAAAGCTGTTCTCAGTTAAGCTAGAAGGTTGAACGCAGCATGAAATCCCTGTTACTGAAACTTCCGATAATTTCTGATACATGCAAGTAACAGAGTTTCTGAAAGTTTCAAGTCACCAGTTCATCCCAAGTCAAAGCCCTAAAGCCGTGAATGGTCATGCATGAGATCTCATGATCTAGTACCGATCAAATGACTTTTACAACGCAAGGAAAGAAAACTCTCTATTTCCATATTGGCACAGAAATATCTACCGGTATTTTACTTAGAAAGTTTGCAACACATTTAAGAAAGTAATTTTGTATGCATTTACTAAATCTCTAGATACACAAATCCTTGCAAAGGTTAGCAGCTAAAACTTTGGAGATTTTTTTCTCCATTTTATCTAGGAAGCTACTTTTGTTACTGCAGAGATTTCTGTTCTGCTGGATACCTCTTCAGGATCCTAGGTCTTTCCTCTGTTGATTAAAGCTGACAAAGAAAAGAAAAATCTAACAGAACAAGCTAAAATACCACTAACAAAACTCGCAGTAAAAATAAGTTTCTTTCCCTCTAAACAGTTTGTACTTGCTTGATACATCTGATTTTGCAAACTCAACCAGATCTGTTTGTCTTCAGTTATTCTCAGGAAAAAGGAGAAATTGCTTTCCTTATACTTATTAAGAGAACAAAATATAAGATTCCATTACTGCAAAGAGGTCTGCTTGGGACTCTGAATGCAGGCAAACCTGTGCTCGAAGTCAACATCCTGCCTTACACACCTTTATATAGTTGGAGTCTATAAAGTGAAAGTCTGAAAAATCCAGTGTTACAAGGTTATTTTAACTCAAGGGCATTAAAGCTTCCAGATCTGATAAGTAAGTTATGCTGAGGCTGATTTCAGCTGTCCACTGGTTTAAGCCTGAAAGACCTCTTCCTGCATTTATTTTTCCTGATTTGGAACACGTAGGTTTTAAAGGCTTTAGACAGAGATTATGACCTTTGATTGCAATCTTTACTTGTTCCTGGAAAACTTTGTCTCACATGAACTCTAAACCACAATAGTGGTTACCACTCGTACGTTTAAACCCTACCCCTCCTTTTGGAGTAGCAGGCTATGACAGTAAGACTGTATTTTTAGCCTTCTCATAAATTAGCAGAGCTTCAGAATGAGCTTCCTACGTAAGAGGATGCTGAAGCTGGAGTTATTTTTCGTGGGGCTAGAGAAGGCTCTGACTCACCAACATACAGATAGTGCCAAGCTGAGCTTTTACACTGTACCTTAGTACTGCCTCTGCAGAAAAAAATAAAAGATTGTCACTCTTACCAGACTTTGTGTAAATAAAATCCTTTCCCAAAGGATACTGAGATACCATATCACTATGCTTACCGGATAAATGTGCGTCTTCCCATTAGGATAAACTACTTCTGCTGCTTCAACACTGAGAGAGACAGAAAAACAGAAGTAAAAATGTTTTTAACACATGGCCAAAATGTAATGTCTCTCTGACTGGAGATTTATACTCACCTGAATGGCTTCTCACAATATTCACTAAACATCGTGACTATAATATCAAGAACAATTTTTGCCTACAAAATAAAGATAATAATCATATTGAAATCTGTCATCTACTTGTGTTGAAATAGACAAAATATCTTAACAAAAACTGGGGGAAAAAGTCTTGTCTTACACTTTCTTCATTCTATTCTATTTAGTAACTAACAACCAAAATCCTAGCAGTCTAGAATACTAGATTTCATTTAAAAAAAAGTTTTTCTTTTGCTGCAAAGACATTTATGCAAAAACTTGAAATTTTTGATTTTCAAGGCTCTGAAGCATTTGTGTGTCTTTGCTAAACTCTGTTTTTAAGGGACACAGTGTCTTTATTACCAGTTGGAACTGGGTCTTCCCAGCCTTTAGTCCAGTTAGTCATTTCACGGAAGTTCGAGTGAGAATGTAGAGGCTGAAGGACGGTGCATTGTTGAGTAACATACTATCAAATTACCTCAGCTGCAAAATCTTTTGGTTTACAGTTAATATTTCAAGAGATTAGGATAACAGAACATAATAATAAGATTCAGATTAACTTCTCAATCTGCAAGGGTTGGTTTATTTTCATGCCTTACAGTATAATTTCTTCCATACAAACAGAACAGCACTGTTTTTATTTTTACTATCAAGGCAAGCAGTAGCAAGAAGCAGTTACTTATTAGTTTGCTTAGAAGCCACTCCCCAACGTGCAAATTGATTTGTGTCGTTAACATATCATTGTGTAGTGGGGTAAGTTAAAAGAATTTTTGCTCTTAAGCGTCAAGATACACACTTTGGGGAAACTATCAATGAATGCACAAACTATATTCAAGAACAGGCAATTGTAACTGCTAGGCTTTCATGCTTTGGCTTTGAGTTTTGGAATTTGCATATGGAAAGACTTCGTTCTGACAATTATTTGCACAGCATCTCTGCTTGAAAAAGATAACTAAGAAGAAAAAGTGTTGTATTCCTTCCCTCGGCCCAAATTTTAAGTAGGAGACAAAACAATTCTTTACAAAGAGTATTCTGGCAAAATAGGCAGTTTTAGTGAATTTTACTCTTTTCAAAGTCTTTCAGATTTAAAATAAGTGCTCAACAAGAACAAAAAAACCTAATTTACTTAAATTACTTTCTCGTACAAACTGAACACTTAGTGTCAACGTAAAGACATAGTAAAAACAAAATCCAATGAAAATACACCACTATCTATAGAGCAAGTCTAAAACTGTGTTCAGGGAATTCCACAAAGCCCTACAACTTCTCCTGCCCTTCGGCTCCATAAAATAAATGCCTGGCTATTGTAGTTCTCTGTATTGGAGCCCCATCACTCAAAGGGAATACAATGATATTTCAGCATATCAAAAGCAGGAAAGATTAATTTACCTTTGTAATATCTGTGGCTGTACATTCAATAAACACATTTCTGGTGTTTACACTTATTTTTGTATGATCTCCTAAAACACAGGAAGACAAAAACATATGAAGAACTGTTATGACTTTTCTTGCAACGACACCGATACTGACTCTTTTGTGATTAGCAAAAATCACTGTCATCTTCTGCAGCTTAAAAAACCACTGCCTACTGCACCAACATTCACAATTCTTACCAGAATAGCAACTCTTTTTATTTTTAAATTTACGAATCAAAAACTAGACTCGCTGAGCGGGCTGTGATTTACACTGACAGGCACACAGATCTGCAGGCACCTCGGCATGCGTTGGGAGAGCAAGGCGGCAGAACGGCGCCCATCTGCCGGCTGCCAAGCGCCTCTGTGCCTCCCCAGCATCTCCTCTTGCCTGGCTTTAGTAACGCGTTGCATTTGATGTGTCATGCGTGTAAGAAAGCAGCCTTGGACAGGAATGAATTAAATGCTTTTAAAAAAGTGATCTAGACTGATGAATATCTATAGCTACCTCTGTGAATAGCCAAGATCTCTTGACACTGTCTCCTGATACACTCGGGGTTTGTCTATATTAGTGATTCAGGTCCTAGTATAGGTTCCTTTTAGGCATGAATTTGATTTGTGTCTGTACTGGGAGTCATGAGGTGTGCAGTGAAGCACGTCACTGATGCACTCAAAACTGTTTTTCATCTGGAAGAAGAAGGTAGAACATACACTCAGGGGCATCACCTCAAGGGTCTCTCTTGCAAATTGGATGCAAAGTCCCCCAGGAGCTGGTTCCCTACAAGAGATGGGTTCTGTTAGTAAGCCACAAGCAATCTAGAGCAGCTGTACAGAAATATGCCTTGTATCGCCTGTGAGGTGTAGATGTGCAGTGCATACCTTGAATGAATTTCACTGCTGCTAACCATGCAGCATGGACACAGCCCTAGAACTGCATGGGATTGTGCCAAATCCTATTTCATTGTCCTTCTCGCCTTTCACTGCACCATTCACTATTGCAGATACACCCCACAGGGAGGCAAAGGGAAGCACACACTTGGATACTCATGGGCATTCTTGCTTCCTTTGTTTGACTCTGAGCAAGTCATTCAGCTTCTGTGTTTTAGTTTCCTACCTAGGAAACTAGGTCACAGCTCGACTGAAAGCGAGGTGCACTAAAGATCTTAAGACTGAGGGATCTTGTGTTCCCTTCCCTTTGATGCTTTGCTGTACTTCTTTGCAGACGGAATGTATTCAGCATTTCTGGACTCACTTCAAAGCAAATACAATCTTTCACTTAAGTGCTTGTAGATAATCCAAAAAAACAATACAGATGTTTACATTTCATAATCTCTTTAAAGAGTACCTTTAACCTGGAAGCTCCTCTCAAATACTGTTCTTTAAAGTAGAGACAGGTATGAAATTTAGCTCAACCTTTTTAATTGATAAAATGTAAACAATATGCAATGCTTATACATGGAACACTCCAAAGCTGGAATGAGCCTAACAAGGAAGGATCAGACACAGTGGCTGACACCACCTCCAGTTCAGGACAGCTGTTCTTACCAGTCCCTGTGATGGAGTCTGAGCTGCCTTTTAGAAAGACTTAGGTCAGCTGTTTAAGATATAGATAAGGTAAATTAGGAAAAACACATCCAAAGAGATTATCACTGCAGATTTTATCAGCCAGTGCAGGGAAAATTACTGATTCTTGACCTAAATATATAGGTATACTGAAATACCTTTGTTAAAGGAGTAATTCTTGCCATGTCATTAAATTGCTTCAGTAAACATGTTTCTCAAAAATGACCCATAGTTTCTTTTGCATTCAGGGGAAACCCATGTTTAGAAATAACACAAAAAAGTCTGCACCAATTTAATTCTTTTTAAGCCACTGAAATCTTCTGGAATCACTTGTGTGATAGCAAAAGGATCCACAAGAACTGGTTCACACTGCTGATAAATACACAGCTTAAGACCTAGGTGAAAAGTTCCCTACTGTGACCATATAAAATGGAGTACAGAGTAGACTGTTACAGATACGAGTTTACAAAATAATTTCTTACATGCTTCTTTTAGCTAAATGTCTGATGAACAATGCTTATGTATGCAAACAAAATGCTATCCTAACAAAGGGTCCTGTCAGAAGGAACCTTTATCAAGTTCTAGAAAGGGTATGAGAAGCTAAATGCAGCGGTTTGCAGTGGGACTTTTACATCCTCTTGATGAGGATGAGAAGAGAGCAACACTAGCAGCCTAGGGAGGGAGCAAAAAATTTGGCTACATTTAAACTGAAAGAAGGAAAGAAGAGTATATGAAATTATAAATGAAACAATTTTAAGAAAACAGAATAATCACTACACAGCAAGGTTTCTGTTAGACACTCAGACTCACACTAAAAATAGCAGCAACAGTACACACTAGTCATAAATAATCTTACCGTTGATGATTGGTGGCATGGACAGAACAACACCGTTGCTGTCATAAATGACAGGATAAAGTGGCTTGTTTTCAATTAGATGTAAATAGTGCCGAAGGTGGCTGTCAGTCTGGAGAAACAAAGCACAACCTAAATTTCACATTTGCTCACTTGTGAACTTTCATAGTGCCACAATCTTTTGCTAAGAGATAAATGGGAATTTTGAAAGAGGAAAGGATTGGGCTTTGGGCTGCGTACTTCACTAGCAAAAGCTGTTTCCCCTCAGAAGCAGGAAAACTTTGACATGAGAGAACTGGATTTTTGGTTTTCTTTGGAAGTGTTAAAAAATATTTCTTTAAGGATGTGCGTTGGCAGCCCAGAGGGCCAACCGTGTCCTGCGCTGCATCAAGAGAAGCGTGGCCAGCAGGTCGAGAAAGGTGATTCTGCCCCTCTACTCTGCTCTGGTGAGACCTCACCTGGAGTACTGCGTTCAGCTCTGGAGCCCTCAGCACAAGAAGGACATGGAACTGTTGGAGCGGGTCCAAAGGAGGGCTACAAAAATGATCCGAGGGCTGGAACACCTCTCCT